AACTGATTGGAAAATATTATAGATCTATTGGAAACAGTGTGATTTAAGGAAGAGTGTTGGCACTTTCCAAATAGTCTTCTGAAATAGTTGCATCTTTTTCAGTGTTATGAAATAGTCAGACACTGTTTTGTTTAGAGATTTGTCATCAGAGAAAACTGCAGTGCAGGTGTGAAGATGCCCCACCTCTCATTCCTGCAGCATGGTCTTACCGGGATAATGAGCCCTAGGGGGTATCTGGCGTAAATGTATGTCTAAAGTGGTGGATTAAATGGTGGACTTGTCTGAAATGATTGGTTTCTCCATTTGCTTGGTAAGAAAACCAGTATCACACTTACATAGTTTTGCTAAATTGAAAAGTAAAGTCCATGTCTACATTTATTTGTTGTTAAAACATATTGGGTGCTTTCTCATCACTTTTGAACCTCACTAGTGAAATGAGGATGGACATTACTATCCACATGTAGACAGAAGGAAACAAAGAGGTCTCCAGTGGCTTTCCAAAGGTCACATTCCAGTTCAGGAGATTGTGAACTTCTTAAAGATGGGTGCCATCTTATTATTATTATTATTATTATTATTATTATTATTTTAACCTCTGGTAGGTGCTCAGTAAAAGTTTGAATGAATGAAGGGGTAGGCTTGGATTAGCTGGGAGCAAGAATAAAAATTTTTTTTGTATTTAGGCAGGGATTGGTGGTCTTTCTGCTTCCCACCTCCACTGTTTACAGCATCATTTGTAGTTAACTTTCTGATGTATTTTCTCCAGATAGTGGTTGTATTTTCTTTATTAGGGCTAATTTTCTTATATTTGAATTGTTTGATAGTTTTAGGATTAGACCTTAAGTCCATCTCCCATGTTCAAATTTCTAATAAACTAGTATAACAATTTGAATGACTTGTTTTCACATGAATCTAGTGTTTCTCTATGTAGGCTTGCAGGTAATTTAAATAATGAACTGTATTGTATATTGAAGGCCAGCCCTAGTGGTCTAGTGGTTAAGATTCAGTGCTCTCACCGCTGTGGCCCAGGTTAGTTTCTCACTCAGGGAACCACACCACCTGTCTGTGAGTTGTCTGTACTATGGTGACTGTGTGTTGCTGTGATGCTGAAAGGTATGCCACCAGGATTTCAAATACCAGGGGGGTCACCCATGGTGGACAGGTTTCAGGAGAGCTTCCAGACAAAGGCAGACTAGGAAGAAGGACCGGGTCACCCACTTCCAAAAAAATTGGCTATGAAAACCTTATGAATAGCAGTGGAGCATTGTCTGATACAGTGCCAGAAGGTGAGAGGATGGCACAAAAAGCCAGGGCAGGGTTCCACTCTGCTGTATACAGGGTTGCTAGGAGTCAGAGTCTACTGCACTAACAACAATTGTATATTTAATGGATAACAGGAAAAGTGATTATTTTCAAGGTCAGTAAATCTTGTATTTTGAGAAACTAAGCATGAATTTCTTAAACCAGTCTTTGTTCAGTTGCTACTTCATGCACAATGATATAGGAATGGGTGCTAGTTCTAGGAACTGTTGGTATTTTAAGATGAAGAGCACTGGAAGGCTATTTTGATTTGCCATTTTGGGTGACCCTATACCGCTAAGCAAGTAAGCAAATTGATTCTTGATTCATGTGTTGACCACTGTCATCTGATTTCTTAATTTTTAAAGGTTGATTGTTATAAATTTGGGTCTTAATCCCATTTCATATCTTAAAACTACCTGAAAACTGGATAGTAAAATAAGTGAAAGTGAACACCTCAAATATTTTATATAGACTTTTTTTATATGTTTGTAATCAAATTCTTAATACAAAAGCTAAGTCATACATAATCCTCTTCGGAAGTTTTTCTGCATGAACTGAAATGGTCAGGTTTTTTTCCAAGTAGAATTCCAATGCAATGTTTACTGAAGGTACTTTCTTGATAAAATACCCAAAGCTAGCACTAAACAGTCTTCTTTTCTTGAAAGAACTTCATACAGAGTTCAAAATAAACATCATCTGTTTTTGAAAATGCCATTGCTAATCATGTGGGAGAATGATCTGAATATCCTGGTGAGGCACGTTTGTTTAAGAGCCATATCTTGCTGACTTTGTTGGGTCCCTTGCTTGTCCCAGGCAGGTCTCAGTGTTGGCATTGGCCTGAAGTGTCCTTTGCAGTTATCAGGAGTTTGTTTTAATTTCCTTTTGCTTGGGTACCTGTGGACCAGGTGCTATGGAGACACAAAAATGAATTCACTCATGGAATTTATTTTCTCTAGACTGAGGCATGTGTATAAATAATTGATATCAGGAGGTATTGATAAGTGTTAGGTGCAGTAAGAGATATGTATTATAGAATGTTTTGGAAATTGAGGTAATGGAAGGTTTATTTTCACATGTAATCAAATAAGTCACTTGTGGTGTAAACTCCAGACCTTAAATCATGTTGTTTTCAGTATTTCTTATTCTCTGCTTAGTGTAATTAAATTTGGAGAACTTAAGGTTTGTTTTTTTTTTAAATAAATGAATATAAAAGTAATTCATGTTCATTGTGAAACATTTTGGAATACATGGACAGTATAAAGAAGAAAATCCGATCTCTCTGCCCAGATGACTATTGTTGATGTGTAGCGAATTTCCTTCTGCTTTTAGGGACAGTCACTTAAGTTTTAGTAATCCTTAGGTAGCCAGTCATTCTTACAGCCAGTTTTGCTGACCAGACCTATATATTTTTAATTTATTGCACATTCTAAATCAAATATAAACTAAACCCAAAAATATTCTATATCAAGTATGCTCTAAATATAGTTACTCTGTTTCTTAGTCCTTCTTCAAGCCAATTACAATATTTTGCAGGAAAAACCCTATATACAGGCCACTGACTTTGCTCTTCTTTCCTCGCTTTCCAAGGGAAATTGGTCAGGAAAGAAATTTCAGTGATGCTTAGCTGGGATCATATATGGATTTTGTTTTTGTTTTAGATTTAAGAAAAAATGTTTTTTTAATTGTTAAAATGCCCAATTTTCTTATTTTTTCAAAATAGTCCTTTTTTTCTGACTGCCTCATTCTTTTACTTTTTTATTGTAGTAAAATATACGTAACAAAATTTATCATTTTTAAGTTTATAGTTCAGTGGCATTAAGTGCGTTCACATTGTTGTGCAGCCGTCCTTACCATCCACCTCCAGAACTTTTTCATCATGCCAAACTGAAACTCTGTACCCATTAAACAGTTGTTTCCCATTTCTGATGCCCCTCCCTTCTCACCCCTGGCAATCACCATTCTAATTTCTGTCTCTCTAAATTTCATTACTCTAGCTACCTCATAGGAATGGAATCACATGATATTTGTCTTTTTGTGTCTGGCTTATTTCACTTAGGATAATGTCTTCAGGGTTCATCCATGTTGTAGCATGTATCATAATTTCATTCCTTGTTAAGGCTGAATATTATTCCATTCTGTGTATACACCACATTTTGTTTATCCATTCATCCATCGATGGACATTTGGGTTGTTTCCACCTTTGGGCTATTGTGAGTAGTGCTGCTATGAACATGGGTGTACAAATATCTGCTTGAACTCTGCTTTCAATTCTTTTAGGTATATACCCAGAAGTGGAATTGGTGGTTCATATGGTAATTCTATGTTTAATTTTTGAGGAATCACCATACTGTTTTCTACAGCAGCTGCACCGTTTTACGTTCCCTATGACAGTTCACAAGGGTTCCTGTGTCTCCACATCCTCACCAATACTTATTTCCCCCTGCCTCCCTCCCTCCCTCCCTCCCCTTTTCCCTCCCTCTCTTTCTTCCTTTTTCTTTCTTCCTCCCTCCCTCCCTCCCTTCCATCCTAAGGGATATGAAGTGCTGTCTTACTGTGGTTTTGATCTGCATTTCCTCTAATGATTAGTGATGTCGAGCATCTGTTCACCTGCTTATTGGCCATTTGTATGTCCTCTTTCATCGATAGTTTTATAGCGTATTTGCTCCTCCTGCCCCACCTTCCTCCAGCAGTACTTCAGGTAGTTTTCGGTGCCATTAACAAGTGCTCAAAACTATCATTTTAAATGATTATATACTATCCTGCCATATAAATTTCATATTGTAATGTTTTTAAATGATGAGACCTTTAGGGGTAGAACTTTTAGGGAGTTTAGTTGTAAATCTTAAAATGATGACATCTGTGTACATATATATTTATTTTTTTAAGATATGTGGTTGGATTTGGTCAAGATCATTTTTAAGATTCTTGGTACACACGTTTTTTCAAAATTGCTTTCTAGAAGGATTAATTGACGGTACAAGATTTGCTTGTAATTGAATTCACTCTTCTCACTTTGTAGGTGCTGAGCAGAGTGGAATTAGTTCGAAAACCTAACTCATCCATCTGCTTTCCTTCTTTCAAATGTTAACTTCTCTAGTCTCACTCTCATTTTCATTTTCCTCCTTTGTCCTATGGTTTGTGACTTTATTTCTTCACTGCCATTTTAGTTGGAGTTTATGAGGGAGCAGAGATTGCACATTCAATATATTAGTTTAATTGGAAGTCTATAATTTCCTAAAATTCTGTGAATAAGTGCGTAGTCCATGTTCACAATCAGTGTTTCACTTAAGAAAATTTCAGCAAAGACTGAATTGCATACTTATATAAGTTATGAGTTGAATATAGTTAATATTCTAGACTGGAGGTTCGCAAACTTTTTCTCTGAAGGACCAGATAATAATTTATGCTTTGTGTCTAGTCTCTGTTGCATATTTTTCTATTTTTTTGACATCTCTTTAAGAATGTAAAAAATATTCTGAACTTGAAGTCTGTGCGTTAGATTTGGTTCAAAGTCTACAGTTTGCCGACCCCTATTCTGGAATTATTTGCAGTGATCTTGCTAGGCAACATGACCCATTATTAAGGAAGAAATTCTTTTCTTAATGCTTTTCTTAATAGAATTGCAAACTCTGATAATGTTCAGGTGATTTGGTTTTTAGAGTAAATTACTGAGAGCTAATATTTATTTAAATTTTCAGATGGTGACCCTGATAACTATATTGCTTACTATCGGAGAGCTACCGTCTTTCTAGCTATGGGCAAATCAAAAGCAGCACTTCCTGATTTAACTAAAGTGATTGAATTGAAGATGGATTTCACTGCAGTAAGTTCATCTAAACTTTTTTTAAAGGGGAGTTTCAGGGAACTTAGAAGAGGTAATTTGTTTCTTGAGGTGAGGACTGGCGTGCTAGGCATAGCTAGAAGATATAGAAAGCCACTGTGATGTAGTGGACTGGGCAACAGGAGAAATTGAAAGTCCCTGGAATCAAAGGTCTTGTGAAACAGGAACAGTAGATGCAGTAGGTGATTTTTAGAAGCTTGGCAGTGATGTTAGCTTTGTGGTTTAGAAAGACATCTGTGTGGATTGATGGAGTGTAGGGCAAGATGTGAGGGTGAGAAAGTTGATTAAGAGACTGTTGAGCTAAGAGGCTATCAGGTGACTGGTGACAGTTTCAATTACCAGTCAGCTGTAGTAGGAAGAATAAAGAAGACAGGATAGCTCAATAAAGCCAGTGGTTTGTGGTGAGGGTACAAAATGCTGAATTAGACAGAGTCCTCCCCTGAACCAACACCCAAACTTCAGAGGGAGAGGAGTTTACAGTCTAATGAGATAGCCTGATGATTGGCAGGTCACTGTAATGGCTTAAAATAATAGGACCAATGAGATGCTTTCAAAATTAATTTGGTAACTTATTTATTGTTTATATTCTGCCATATTTCAAAAAGGATTTGAGATAACTGATTAGATATGAGTGAATGTTTAGTTTGAAATATTACTATTATTTTTTTTATTTTTTGAGGAAGATTGGCCCTGAGCTAACATCCATGCCCAACTTCCTCTACTTTATATGTGGGACGCCTACCATGGCATGGCTTGACAAGCTGTGTGTAGGTCCACACCTGGGATCTGAACCTGCGAACCCTGGGCTGCCGAAACGGAATGTGCAAACTTAACCGCTGTGCCTTTTGGCTGGCCCCAGAAATATTACTATTGTTTTTAGATAGAATTCCCAAGTATCAAATTTTTCTTTAATCTATTACTTTACCAAACTAGGCACAACCTTTCACAAAGGTTACATGGCTCCTTTTTCTTGTATTATAGTAGCTATTAGCTAGTTGAAGTGACTTTACTCTTTCTTTCTAACAGAGGATTAGGGAAATTATATGTACCATAAAAGTAATATATAAGTTTTAGTGGACTATTGATGTGATTTCTGTCTTATGGTAGATGTTTGTCATCAGAGAGTTGATATTCTTGGAAGAGATGGGATTATGCACGTTAGAAGCAGGAGAATATTGGAGATGATGGGGAGAAAATGATGCATGTTTAAAGGGAAGAGCATGATTATTCTGGTTATGGTGGAGTAAATATTTGCATTGAGAGTTAATAAAAAAAAAAACCACAACTATTTCCAGAGCTTGGATTGGTAAAGTCCCAAATTACACACTTTTACAGTAATGACAAAAAAGTTATTATGATGGCAAAAGTATATTTTTTTAAATTGAGATATAATTCACATACCATCAAATTTACTTTTTTGTTACAAATTATACACTGAAGTATATCAGGTGTACACTGAAGTGTACAATTCACTGGTTTTTAGTATATTCACAAGGTTGTGCAAGCATCATTGCTATCTAGTTCCAGAACATTTTTATCACCCCCAAAAGAAACCCTGTACTCATTAACAGTCACTCCCCATTTCTGTCCAGCCCTTGATAACCACTTATCTGTTTCTATGGATTTGCCTATTTGGGATATTTCTTATAAATGAGATCATACAACATATCCCCTTGTGTATCTGGCTTCTTTCACTTAGCATAATGTTTTCAAGGTTTATCCATGTTGTAGCATGCATCAGAATTTCATTCCTTTTTATGGCTGAATAATGTTCTATGTATGGGTATATCACATTTGTTTATTTATTAGTTGATGGAAATTTTTTTTATGACATTTTGACTATTGCTGTGAACATTCATGAACAAGTTTTTGTGTTGACACATTTTCAATATTTTGGGTATAGCAACAGTATTTTTAAGAAAGCATGTTTTAACAAAAATTAAAAACATTCATTGGTTCCAGGAATTATTCTCAGAGTGCCCAGTCAAATGGGCATTGGAAAAATAAATATTTCATTAATACTTCATTAGCTTATTTACTTTTATTCTTTGTGTTTAAAGAAAATTGAAAATGCATAGTTCCAGGACATCTGTTCTGTTTTTTTTTCTAGGCAAGGTTACAGAGAGGTCACTTACTACTCAAACAAGGAAAACTCGATGAAGCAGAAGATGATTTTAAAAAAGTGGTATGTTAAGTTCAATTTGTATTTGGCTCTATGAAGATGTTATTTTGAGTGAACATATTGGACTTATGTTTTATATTAAGACATTTAATAATAATTTTATAGCTAAAAGGGAGAATTGTTTGATTTGTGTTTATAAGAATCACAGATCCCGGGGCCGGTCCTGTAGCTGAGTGGTTAAGTTCGCGTGCTCCGCTGCGGCAGCCCAGGGTTTCGCCAGTTCAGATCCTGGGCGCAGACATGGCACCACTCGTCAGGCCACATTGAGGCGGCGTCCCGTATGCCACAACTAGAAGGACCTACAACTAGGATATACAACTATGTACCAGGGGGATTTAGGGAGATAAAGCAGGAAAAAAAAAGATTGGCAACAGTTCTTAGCTCAGGTGGCGATCTTTAAAAAAAAACACTCACAGATCTTGTATTAATATTTAGTGACTGCATCAAAGAATCGCTTTAACAGAGGGAAGGTAAAGTGTATGGAATAGATACATAATCCTAACTCAGTTCATGTAGCTCATGTGTTCTGCTTTCTTCTCCGTGAGAATCTAGAGATGTCAGCTGAGCTATTCTAAAAGTCCTGTAAGTGACTTGGGAAATGCTTTATTTGATTTGAAAGGAATAATGAAACAGATTCTTAAAAGGAAATGTTGCTGTTGCCCATATGGCTACTTTACAAAGTAAAAAATGTTTTGGATTTGTTGGAAAGATGTTATAGATTACATGTAATTGAAGGGGGTATGTCTTAAAAAATGGTTTAGAGAGAGACAGCTAGCTAATGTCTTTATGCCCTCATTGGGCTTGTTTTAAGACCTGCATTTTTGTTCTACATGGATTTGTTTCTGGAAGAAAATATTTGCAACCACATATGTGATAAAGTATCTAGAATATATAAAGAACTCCCAAAACACAATAGTAAAAAAGCAAACATCCAATAGAATATGGGCAGAAGACATCAACAGACATTTCACTGAAAAGGCTTTACAGATGGCAAATATGCACATGAAAAGATCATTAGCCATTAAGGAAATCTAAATTAAAACAACAAGGAGCTATCACTACACATCTCTCAAAATGGCTAAAATAAAAAAGTCACAATACCAAATGATGACAAGGATGTAGACAAACATAAAATGGCCCATTCACTCTGGAAAGCAATTTGGTAGTTTCTTTTTTTTTCACTGAGGTAGATTTGCCCTGAGCTAACACCCATTGCCAATGCCAATCTTCCTCTTTTTGTACGTGAGCCTCCGCCACAGCATGGCCCCTGACAGACGAGTGGTGTAGGTCCAGACCCGAGAACCAAACCCAGGCCACCAAAGCAGAGCACACTGAACTTAACCAATAGTCCACTGGGGCAATATGATAGAATAATATTCATTAACAAGAATTGTTTATGTATAGTGTTGATTTATAGACCTAGACATACAAAATAAAGTCACTTAAAAGACAATATAAAAATTGTGTGTAAAAGTTGTTTACAACTAGAGAAAACTTTTACGTGTGCTAAATTAGTCTAAGTGGCAGTTATTTAAAGTTTATAGCTGTTTTCCCTTTTGCAAAGTTGTATACAACAAGTTTTGAAGAAAAAAGAAAAGCTTTGGAACAGAGACAGGAAGTTTGGCTTTTAGAACTGACTTTGTACTTCAGCCATGATTTACATAGCACTCTGGATGTGCGGGGCATGTTGCTAAGTGATTTCCAGGGATTATTTCACTTAGTCATTGTTCAGATGTGAGGCAGAAAGGGAAGAGGGAGGGGTGAGGCTTAAAAGATGTCAGCAATAAAATGGAATCTGACTTATATAAGGGAAAGAGGAATTTAGCATGACTTCTAGGATTTGGCTTAGATAATAAAGAAGAGCCATTTATTGAAGAGGATTGGGGGGGTGCGGTGGTAGTGGCAGTGGGTTGGAGATAGGAAATGGAATTCTGTTGACCTTGTTATTGAGATGCCATTTAGAATGTCCCATGGGAGAGATGTCAAATAGGCAGTTGCAGTCTGATGTCAGTGTATGCATAAGAGGGAATGGTGAAGAATGTAGGCTCTGGAAATGACTTTGAGCCATAGTTACCTCTTGTATAAAATGGAGATCATCTGAAATGTCCTTTAGGATTTTAGGATTTGCTTAGAATAGTGCCTGGAGCACAGAAAGCTCTCAATAAATAAAGCTCTCAAATAAATTGATCATCACCATCATCCAAAGCATGGGCTTTGGAGATAGAGACCTTAGTTTGAACTTAAGCAAGACTTCTGGCAAGTTATATAATCATTCCATTTCTTTATCTGTAAATTGAAGACAGTAAAACTGTCTCATGGGTAATAGTATTAAGTGAAAAAAAATAGGTATGCAAAGTAGGCTTTAACTGTTCTTTCTGCTCTTCAGCAGTTTTCACTTTAGTTGGAAGAAATAAGCCCTAAATATGTAAAAAATAACAGTGCAGAGGCATTTGTAAGAAGTGACATATGAGCTGTCTAAATAACAAGATAGCTCATTAAGATTGAGAATGACATATGACCAGAAGTTGGGAGACCCACCTCACTTTGTCTCCTGATTAACTGTGTGTTGTTGAGCAGATTACTTACCATTTGTGAGACTCAGTATTTTCTTTTATAAAGTGAGAGTTGATTGGGCAAGATGATTTCTTAGCTTACTTCCATTGTTAAGAGTTTCTTAAGTGATTTAAACATGTAGAGAAAGGCGATTACTACCATAATATAGAACAATTAGGGAAGCTTGGAGGAGAGGAGACTTGAGAAATGGGTTGGTTTGATTAAAACTGCTTGATGGAACAAGAGAGTCTTTTGGAATCTTAGATTTTTTTGTGTGTGTTACAATTAGGAGAAATTAGCTATATTCTCACATTTCCCTGCTTCATTTCTGGTAGGTTTTATTTATGAATTTAACAAATATTTGAGTTCATCCTCTGCCAGGTTCAATGAACATTCTTGTCTGTTTTGTTTTCCTTGCTCATACTGAATCTCTTCAGGGCAGCAGTTCTCAGGATTGGTCTCTGGATCCCACTTACTGTTAAATATTGAGGACTCTAAGGAGCTTCTGTTTATCAATGTTTATGGTATTAGAAATTAATTTTAGAAATTAAATATTAATTTAAAAGTAGTAATAAACCCACTATGTGTAAATATAAATAGCTTTGTTTTTGCATGAAAAACAACTATATTTTCAAAAACAAAAAATTTGGTAATGAGTGGTATTATTTTACATTTTTGCAAATCTCTTTGATATCTGACTTACTTGAAGACAACTGGATTCCCAGATCTGATTTATATATTGGTCGAAGCATTATTAGAGGAAATGTGTCTCACACATATAAGCGGTTGGAAAAGGAAGACTATTTTAATAGTCTTTTTAGATAATTGTGGATATTCGTTGGTGTTACACAAAGACTCCACTAGTGGTTATAGGTTAGTTGCAGTGTGGGCTCTGAAATCTTATCAGTGAACTTTTAGTACTTTGTTATAATGAAACCCATTGGTTTATCTTGCACTTTGAATGGATTCTTTATATTTTATACATATATGCTTTTGTCCCCACAGACCCCTGAAAGAATATTAAGGACTCCCAGGGGTCCCTGGATCAGAGTCTGAGAATCACTGCTGTAGGGTATATACCTGAGAGGATAATTGCTACTTTGAAAGTTATGGGCATTTTTAATCTGGCTGAATAGTTTGGCACTGTCCCTTTAAGTGGTTATCCAAATTTATGTTCCCACCAGCAGCATAGGAGAGTTCCATGTGTTCCACATCTTCAACAACACTTGATATGAACAGTGTAACTTTTGCTAACCTGGTTGATGTAAGAAATGCAACTACATACATCTATGGTGTATGTTTCTGTTAGATTCTATTCTCTAACTATTTCTTCTCTGTCAATCCACCCTTCTCTTCCCTCCCCCAATTCATTTAGATTTTTCTTCCTTATTCTGTTCTTTCTACACTATTACACATACTATGTCTTTTTCTCTTAGTCATTACCTCAGGAATTTCAACGTGCATGCTTAATAACATTTGAAGGTAATCAATATCTTTAGCTTCCTCCAGAATAATACAGGGACCTTAGAATGCGTTAACTCAATCACCCTCCCCCTGACTTGGATACTATTGTTTTTCAAAAATGGGTCTTTCTAGTAACCAAAAGAGCATGGTACTGGCACAAAAACAGACACACAGATCAATGGAACAGAATCTAGAGCCCAGAAATAAACTCACACATCTGTGGACAGCTAATTTTCAACAAGGGAGCCAAGAACATACAATGGAGGAAGAATGTCTTCAATAAATGGTGTTGGGAAAACTGGACAGCCACATGCAAAAGAATGAAAGTAGACCATTATCTTAGAGCATACACAAAAATTAACTCAAAATGGATGAAAGACTTGAATGTAAGACCTGAAACCATGAATCTTCTAGAAAACATAGGCAATATGCTCTTTGACATTGTCTTAGCAGCAGTTTTTCAAATACTATGTCTGACCAGGCAAGGGAAACAATAGAAAAAATTTAAAAATGGGACTACATCAAACTAAAAAGCTTCTGCACAGCAAAGGAAATCATCAACAAAATGGAAAGAGAACCTAACAATTGGGAGAAGATATTTGCAAACCATATATCAGGTAAAGGGTTAATAGCCAAAATATACAAAGAACTCATGCATCTCAACAACAAAAAAACCAACAACCCAACTAAAAAGTGGGTGAAAGATCTGAAAAGTGATTTCTCCAAAGAAGATATACAGATGGCCAACAGATGCGTGAAAAGATGTTCAACATCATTAACTATCAGAGAAATGCAAATCAAAACTACAATGAGATATCACCTCACTCCTGTCAGAATGGCTATAATTAACAAGACAGGAAACAATAAGTGTTGGAGAGGATGCGGGGAGAAGGGAACCCTCATACGCTGTTGGTGGGAGTGCAAACTGGTGCAGCCACTATGGAAAACAGTATGGAGTTTCCTCAGAAAATTAAGAATAGATCAACCTATGATCCAGCTATTCCACTGCTGGGTATGTATCCAAAGAACTTGAAAACACAAAGGCATAAAGATACTTGCACCCCTATGTTCATTGCAGCATTATACACAATAGCCAAGACTTGGAAGCAACCTAGGTGCTCATCAAGGGGTGAATGGATAAAGAAGATGTGGTATATTTAAACAATGGAATACTACCCAGCCATAAGAAACAATGAAATCCAGCCATTTGTGACAACATGGAAGGACTTTGAGGGTATTATGCTAAGTGAAATAAGTTAGAGGGAGAAAGTCAAATACCATATGATCTCACTCATAAGCAGAAGATAGAAACAATGACAAACAAACACATAGCAATAGACATTGGATTAGTGGTTCCCAGAGGTGGTGGGGAGAGGGAAGAGGGCGAAAGGGGTGATGAGGCACATGTGTGTGGTGATGGATTGTAATTAGTCTTTGGGTGGTGAACATGATATAATCTACACAGAATTTGAAATACATTACAGTGTAGACCTGAAATCCATATAATGTTATAATCCAATGTTACTGCAATAAAAAGAAAATTTGGTCTTTCTTCTTTTTGCTGTTCAATTTAGTATTATTTTTTGTATGGTTCCCTTGTTGTTAGATTGCAGAAAGAATTTATGAAGGCAAATTCTAGAAGTCACTGGAGAATGTTACCATATACCTCAAATATTACATATTTTTATGTTATTAAATAATATCAAATGAAAAATTTAAATTTGTGCTTCTCCCAAAACCATATTTAAATATAATAGGATTAGAAAGATTAATTTCTTGAGACAAGCAGTTCAGTGAATGTATTTTATGCCAAAGTCTAATTTTATTTTGACCTAAGAGGAGTCAAACTGAGGTTTTATTATTCCAGGACCTTAATTGCTGTAACTTTAACAGAGGGTATCCAGTTTAAGTTGGCTAATATGTAATGCGATGGGAAATAAATTGAACATCCTTTTAAACTGTGTATTACATCTTTTACATTCTGTGCTCGTCTTGAATTTATTTATTATAGAGATGTCACAAAAGGAGGTTGGAATTTTTATTAGCCTTTTTTGGAGTACTTGCTGTATGTTACATAAAGTATGTTTTTAATTTCTCAGTGACTGCTACTCAAGGTGTAGGTATTAATATCCTCCTTTTGTTGGTGAAGAAAATGCAGATAACATGTAGACAGTAATAAAGTTAGGATTTGGGCTTGGTTTTTTTTTTTTTCCCCATTTAGACTTTATTTTAAAACATTAATACAAAATCTATGTGGAAATAGTCACAACCTGGCCATTGAGAAATGGTAAAACTACTGTATTAGTTATCTGTTGCTGCATAACAAATTACTCAAAGTTAGCAGCTTAAAGCCACACACATTCGTGATCTCAGTTCATGGGGTCAGGAATCTGGGCAGGCTTAGCAGGGTCCTTTGCTCCTGGGTCTCTCACAGGCTATAGTCAAAGTGTCAGATAGGGCTGCAATATTATCTGAAGGCTCAGTTGGTGAAGGAACTGCTTCCAAACTCACTTGGTTGTTGGCAGGCTTTAGTTTCTCTTGAGCTGTCAACACTGAGGTCTCTGTTTTTTTCTGAGCTTTTAATCAGAGGCTTCCCTTGTTTTTTCTTAAGTGGGCCTCTCCAGAAATACCTCACAGCATGGCAGCTTGCTTCATCAGAGTGAGCAATGAGAAGGCAAGAGAGAGAGAGAGAGAGTACTAGCAAGATGGAAGTCACAGTGTTTTGTACCTAATTAAGGAAGTGACATCCTATCACCTTTGTCATTCTGTTTGTTAAAAGGAGTTACCAGCTATCTTAGACTCTGGGGGAGTGGATCACACAAAGGCATGAATTCCAGGTGAGGATCACCTGGGGCCATCTTAGAAGTCTGCCCACCTTAACTACCAACCCACTGTTTTCATTTGAGGTCCCTGAAATAGGGGTGTATTTAGATTAGGTTAGAGGGCAGTTCACCTCTTTCAACAAGCCCCTATCCCATAGCTATTATGAGTTTTTATCCAGAAGCTCAGTGACCATTTAAATAGTCAGAAGAAATAAATAAAATATTGTCGTAGGGAGACATTTGGCAGAAAGGGTCAGAAATACACAACACTAAAGAAGAGAAGGAGATCAAGAAACATGAAAAAAGGAGGGAGGGAAATATCAGCAGGAATCTCTGCATGTAAATATCCTGGAACATGGGAAGGCAATTGGGAGGAGGCGGCAACCTTGTGGTAAGAGTGAAAGTCTTCATCTCACTTCATCTTCTTTAAAACTCTCCAGGGTTGTAAATAAATCCTTAGTTTGTTTCTCAAACTCTTTTCTTAGCTCCTTGAAAGAATCTCCTCCCTCTCCTCTCCTTCCCCCTCCTCCCACCACTCCCTCCTCTCCCCAAAAAGGCCCAGAGGACCTGAGCTCATTCCCTCTTTCCCATTCCTGTTGCTGGAGGACTGAGTGAGGCTGAGCCCTCCATCCTCAACCTTGAGATTTAGTGCTTTCTCCTCATTTCCAACAAGAGAAATTTTGTGGAAGATACTAAAGTTTGGGAGAGGAAAGAGGAAAAACACAAATTCCGTCCAGAAGAGGTAGTCTCTAATACATTCTAATACATCCTATCCAAAAGGGAGCAGTACATATAGGGAACAAGTTGTCAGTAAACTTCTACTTTTACTCAAAGTGGCAGGGCACACACATTTATACTTTTCCAGTGTGGTCTATCAGAAGTATTCAGGACCACCCTGAGGATGATGAAACAGACACAGGCAAACACGCCAAGGCCCTGAAGCAGTTCCTTTCAACTTGGATAATTCAGTCATGCAGGGAAAATCCTCCCCCTAGACCGAGCTGAGGTTACCAATTCCTAGTTACCTATGAATACCTGGAGTCCTGTCCAGTCCTTCAAAAGCTAAGGGTTAAACAGACAAAATAGAATACCTGAAGTTCCTGAAAACCAAATGGTGAAATACAGAGCCTCTACCAAGAAATAATATTCTTAAGGTTTCTTAACCTTAAGTTAAGGTTTGGAGTGTTCTCTCCTACCAGGTGGCTAGTGGGGGTGTTTTTAAAAAATGAATCGACTAAAAGGGGAAGCAGTATGATCAGTCAATTGAAGGAGAGACATTTCTAGAAATAACCTACCATTGTCTGCACCTCACCCCAAATTGGAACTCATCAACTACAATTCTCATCGTAGTAAGAATATTAGATTTCAGAAATTGTTACATATAAATAGTAATCTTTAAAAAGTTCCCCCCAAATTTAGTAGCTTTTTAATGTAGGCACTCAGTTTTTCTGAGCTTAAGCTTAAGATTTTCCATCTGGAAGAAGAGATTGTTAAGAGCTGCTGTGCATGAGGCTGGACTGGGAGCAGGGATGAGCTGGGAGCAGACAAGGGGGGATTTTATTGGGGTGACAGAAATGGTCTAAAACCGGTGATCATTGTAGACTTGGTAAATTTATTAAACATCATGGAATTGTATACTCAAAATGAGTGAATTTTGTGGTATATAAATTATACCTTGATAAAATTGTTAAAAAAAAGAGACAACTTGTAAACCTCTTAAAACCATGTCCTAAGCCTTTTAATAAGGTATTAATTACTCTCTTATTTTTTCATGTAAATTCTTCCTTTCTTATTAACCTTAACCCCTCTGGTACCAAATCTTTTTCTATCATATAATCTCTAAAAAAACCCTGCTCTCTCCTTCAGTTTCCCTATGTTTTTGATAAAATTATTTTATACTTAAAAATAAGTACTTAGGAAATATAACTAGAAGGCAAAATATATAAAACTCAAGTAATTCTGCAGAGCTCTATGTAAGAAAGTGAGAGAGGTGCTTTCCTGTCTTCGTTCTTCTCTACCCTCTCGCATTCCTAAATATAACTCAGGTCTTTTGACTGTAGCTCCACTGCTCGCTCTTATGCACCGTATTGGTGGAAATAAAGAGCCTTTGCCGCTGCCTCCCACGGTGATTAGCACCAGGGAGCAAGTCTGTGGACAGCCAGCGTCTCTGTCCTTTTCCCCCACTGAACTGAAGTATTTGCAATGGTCAGATTGTTGTGTATATTATGGGTATTAGATTTAAGAGATTAAAAATGCTGTTTAATTTCTTATTATTGTTATAGCTCAAATCAAATCCGAGTGAAAATGAAGAAAAGGAAGCCCAGGCTCAACTTATAAAATCTGATGAAATGCAGCGTTTGCGTTCACAAGCACTTGATGCTTTTGAAAGCTCGGATTATACTGCTGCTATAACCTTCCTTGATAAGATTTTAGAGGTAAGTTTGTTAGATATTGCGGCTAACAAGCCTAACACTGCTTCTTACTATAAGGCATGTTTATACACTTCGACTTGTTATATACCACAAAAACCTAGATGGGATAAAATCAGATTGGTCCTTGTGCTTTCAGCCCTTCATTGAGAGATGGTGTCTATGTACGTAGAACACAATTTGGAACTGAAGTTTTCAGTAAATGTAGTGAATGTGCTGTGGAGTGGGAGTTACCTGTTTTTAGACGTTGCTTGCTTTGCTACTTTTGTTTGATTTTGCAGTTTTTTAGGGGAAGAAAACTCTAGAGGTTAGATAATGAGCTAATAGATGAAAGACTTGGTTGAAGGTAAGGAAAAATAATGTTTGGGAGGAAAGAGTAGTGTTTAGAGGGAGAAGCTCCTAGGGAAGAAGGCAGATGAAGTTTATAGGATCCAGAGAGCTCTAGATAGGGGAAACCAAAGTCTAGAGTTTCCTTGCCTCTGAAGGACTTAATAACAGATGGTTTCAGAAGGAAGTCTACTAAAATGTTGAAATGGAAGCAGGCATAATTCGTATTTGTCATTTTCACAGTGCTTTGATGTACAGTTTCATTTCATCTTGGCAGGAAACTTGTGATATATGTAGAATGGGCACCACTTTGATAATTTTATAGAGGAGATGATGTGATATAGTCCAGTGGAATTCACGTGTTTTTTTTGTTAATGCTTTATTAAGGAAGTATAAGTATAAGGTTATAATTTTTACCTTCTAGTAGTTAGAGAATTTGTTTTGACCTAGCTTATTGCCTATGATATTTAGTTTATGTACAGTGTTGATTTTGATATCCTAACATAAGTGAAAAGTTGACATGACTTCAGAACAGCTCTAAGAAGTATGTAAAAATACTACTACAGGTCTTATTGGTGAGCTTTTGGGTTTATATTTTGAAGAATACTAGTGTGTTTACTACACATTGTCAACTTTGATAAAATAGAAAAGGTGAAACCTCCACCTTCTCACATTGTTTTTCTCTTTATTTTCGTGATGTGAGGATTTAACTTGAAGAAGGTGACATTTTATAAAAGAGAATTTCATTGGTTATTAGTAGAATAAAAATATTTTGTGAATTTAGAGACTAGATTTTAGTTTTTGAGATTAGAAATGAGAATTGTTTAGGTACACAAATCTGATTAGTAAATATTCTCTTCAAAATTAAATATGCTTCACCGGGAACCGTCTTCTAAAGTAAATGCTATCTTTTCTTATTTTCAGAGTTTTAGAATTATATAATTGAAGGGGGTAGGAAAAAGGCCTTGTTAGTATGTATATCCCTTACCCCATTAGAATTTATTTAAGGTATCCTTGGAGAAATTATTTTGTCACATCTAATTATTTTTGTCACATCTAAATTGTATCAGACTTTTTAACACTATTCACAATATAGAAGTCATCACATTAATTGAGGATGTTTTATGTTGATAAATATGTAGTAAAATATGTGGGATGCAAGTATGAATGTGCGTAATTTACTGTTTCTTTCTTAAAGTCTAGTTCTTTTGTTTCTCAAGGTTTGTGTTTGGGATGCAGAACTACGGGAGCTTCGAGCTGAATGTTTTATAAAAGAAGGGGAACCTAGGAAAGCGATAAGTGACTTAAAAGCTGCATCAAAATTGAAGAATGATAACACTGAGGCTTTTTATAAAATCAGCACACTGTATTATCAACTAGGAGACCATGAACTGTCCCTCAGGTCAGTTCTAGTGACATACACATCTCATCATCTTTTTATTGTTAGCAGTAAGATAATCTCATTTTCTTTTTAATTTTAAATTAATAAAATTATGGTTAAGGCTGTTTTTATACTTCATCTATTTTGTATCTCTAAATAATTCTGTTTCCACATAATTTATTTTCATGAAGTATGCTTATTAAAATAAATAGGAGGGCTATTATATTTGTAGAAGAAAAATGGAGTGTTCAATGTATAACTCTCTTTAAGTCATTTGAATTTGAATTAATAAGTATGTGCATAGTACAATGCCATATATAAAAGTGTATGGTAAATTATTGTCAGTATGTTTTGTTTGTTACAAACAAAAAACACCTTTCATGTGATTTCTCTAGTTAGTATGGAAAAACCATTTATTAATTATTTTGACTTGGAGTATTTTCCTCTTTTTAATACATGAGCAGTGAAGTTCGTGAATGTCTTAAACTTGACCAGGATCATAAAAGGTGTTTTGCACACTATAAACAAGTAAAGAAACTTAATAAGCTGATTGAGTCAGCTGAAGAGCTCATCAGAGATGGCAGGTAAGAGTATGCTTGTCTAGAATATGCTTGCTTTCGCTTGTGTGTTTTGTGGACGCAAAAGAAAAATTGAACTGCTTTCTCTTTTAGTCCTTAGCCGTTGAAGGTGGAGTATCTTAGATGGTACGGGGTCTTAGCAAAACTACCACAATTGTACATTTTTTGAATAAGGCAGGTATAAATGATGCTAACTGCATAGTGTGCAGCAGATTTATTTATATTTCACCAAATATTCATTGAGTTTCTCCTGTATCAGGCACTATGTACTAGGGCTGCAGACATAAATATGACTATAGTTTTCGGTCTTAAGAAGCTTATAGTTTAGGAGACAGGCATGTAAATTGATTATTAAAAGATAATGTTTTATCTAGAGTGATAGAGATGCATACAGATTTTCTCGAAGTATAGGATTCTGGGTTAACAGTTCGTTATGGCATCTGAAAAATATCATGCCACTTCTATCTGGCCTCTTTGGTTTCTGATGAGAAATCTGTTGTTATTCTAATTATTTTTTACCCCTTAAGATAAGATATTTTCCTCTGACTGCTTTCAAGATCTTTTCCTTGTCTTTTGTTCTTAAAAGTTTGATTATGTTGTATCTTACCATGGATTTCTTTGCGTTTATCATATTTGGAGTTCACTTAGCTTCTAGAATATGTAGGTTTATGTCTCTTATCAAATTTGGGAAGTTTCTGGCCATTATTTCTTGGAGTACTTTTTCAGCCCTGCCTCTCTCAGCTTTCCTTGTTAGACTCTGGTTAACATAAATGTTAGCTCTTTTGTTATAGCCCCACAGCTCCCTGAGGCTCTGTTCGTTTTTTTTTCAACTTTATTTCTCATTGTTGTTTGGATTTGGTAATTTCTGTTGTTCCAATTCACTGATTTTTTTCTCTGTCCCCTGTGTTCTGCTGTTGAGCACATTCAGTGAGCTTTTTATTTCACTTTTTATATTTTTCAGTTTTTATCTTGTGTTTCTTCACTGAGACTTTCTCTTTCTTTGCCAAGGCATTCGAGTTCTTCATTGGCTTTAAGCATGTTTGTCATTGCTGCTTTTTGCGTGGCTGCTTTAAAATCTCTGTCAGATAATTCTTTTTTTTTTTTGAGGAAGACTAGTCCTGGGCTAACTGCTGCTGATCCTCCTCTTTTTGCTGAGAAAGACTGGCCCTGAGCTAACATCTGTGCCCATCTTCCTCTACTTTATATGTGGGATGCCTACCACAGCATGGCTTACCAAGTGGTGCCATGTCCACATCTGGGATCCGAACTGGCAAACCCGGGCCACTGAAGCAGAACATGGGCGCTTAACAGCTGCGCCACCGGACCGGCCCCTCTGTCAGATAATTCTAACATATCTGTCTTCTTGGTGTTGGAATTTATTGTCTTTTCTCATTGTTTGAGATCTTCCTAATTCTTGGTATGATGAGTGGTTTTTATTTGAAACCTGGACATTTTCATTTTATAAAACTCTGGTTTTTATTTAAATCTTCTCTTTTGCTGGGTTTTCTAACACTGTTTCCAGCAAAGCAAGGGCGGGCACCATCCTGTTGCTGCCAGGTGGAGGTAGAAATTTCTCACTTGGCCTTCCTTGCTACTCGAGGGGTGGGGCTTCTTACTATGCTTGGTGCAGGTGGGAGTTTGGGGGACTCATTTCCGGCTGTGGATGGAAGTCCTGGCTCGCTACTTGGCCTTCTCTGCCACTAACCCTGGCAGGCGTGTGGGCATGCCTCGTTACAGCCCCACCAGAGAAGAAGTCTAGGTTCTCCACTCGACTGCTGGCTTTGGTGGAGTGGAGCCATAATTTTCTCTGTGGCGTTTGGCTAGAGTAGAGCTGTTATTGTCAGAAAGCTTTCTGTCTTTCTAGGCCACTCTTTCTCGGCCTTTTATCTGAGGAGAGCAGGCTCTTGCTCGTTTTTTGTCTGCACCCATTGGCATTTCTGGGTTGCTGGCTTCTTTAGCTCCACGTCTGAGGTATCTGATGCAAAAAGAAACCCAGGGAACTTACCACGCCAAGTTTTTCCTCAGGCCCCTGGTCTCTAGCTGATCTTCCTTCTTCTCTCCCCTTTTCTGAGTCTTTTTATATTTTAACAAATATATGATGTCGAGGGTATTTGACAGATATCTGGCTGGAGGAATTGGGGAAAGTACTATTTCACCTTCCCCGAAGCTAGGTTTTTTTTTTTTAGTGAAGTGCAGTATTTTCTAATTGAAGCTTTTATTTCAAGCTAATTATAGTTTCACATATAGTTGTAAGAAATAAAGCAAGGTCTTGCATACTCTGTGCAGTTTCCTACAATTGGACCATCTTGGAAAACTATAGGACAATATTTCCACCAGGATTTTGACGTTGATAGCCAGCTTTTGTTTGAAGTGTTGTATTTAAACCTGTGTTTGAATGCGTCAGTGGTTGAATGTGAAGACTGCAGCACTTAAGGAATGATGTGCCCAATGGCATGGAAATCATCTTCTAGGTCGCCGTTACTGAGCAAAGTAACAGTGGATAACACGGCTACGGCTTTTCACCAGTTTAAAGCAAAATACTGACACAGCTTTATTATTCTTAGAAAGCTGGTAAAGTTGGGAATTTAAGCAGTTTCCTTCTGCAAGGAACCATGTTGTACTTAGTTGTGAATATTGACATTCATTATATAAAATAATAACTCCATTATTTCATCAAAGTGTGTAGTGGCAAGAAGTAAAACCTGATCTGTTTTGCTAAAAGTGCTCTGTGTAAGTCAGACTTTAATAAGGTGTTTTACTCAGTTTCAAAATTATGAGTGTTTTTCTGTAAGGAAATTCATCATTTGGTTTGATTGATACTCACAGGTATGCTTTGATTTCTCCATATACATTTTCTTGGTCATGTGTTTTATCTCCTAACTCTTAACTGCAGAGACTACCTTCCTTGGTACTCTAGATAATAAGGTAAAAGCAGTGTCTGAAGGCATGTGCTTATTCAGGTGAATTGATTAAGCAACATAGAGTGAAGAGTAGAGGGTCCTCTCCTTACCTCTGGAGGTAGAATTTCATTGTTACTTATCATGATTTGCTCATTTAATAGATACACAGAGGCGACCAGCAAATATGAATCTGTCATGAAAACAGAGCCAAGTGTTTCTGAATACACAATTCGTTCAAAAGAAAGAATTTGCCACTGCTTTTCTAAGGTAATAGTTGACTTGTTCCCAGAAATGTAAAAACTTAACATATGGAATAACAACAATAAATCCTTTTCTCACATTTACTTTTAGGATGAGAAGCCTGTTGAAGCTATTCGAGTGTGTTCTGAAGTTTTACAGATGGAAGCTGACAACGTGAACGCTCTGAAAGATCGAGCAGAGGCCTATTTAATAGAAGAAATGTATGATGAAGGTAAATCTTTGAGGACTTTGATGTGTAACATCTAAAAGTTGAAGTGTATGAAATTAGCACATGTTTAACATACTTTTGTGTCGAACAAGTTTACCAGAGTACCTGGAAATGTTGGCAGTTTTAGAAAAATGGCAGAGAACCTGAAAATTACTCTTCCTTAGTGAAACTTGAAAGGTTTTCCGTATGAAGAAAGAGTTGTGCTGTTGAAACTAGTTCAGAGAATATAAAAATAAAAATTTTAACTTTCTTTGTTGTAGACAAGTTAGAAAAGATAAATAACAAAATAGAAAATTTAAATTGTAGATCTCATATCATTTAGAGATAATCACTATTCATTTTGGATTTATATCTTTCAGACTTTTGTCTATGCATATATACATATATTTTATTCTATATCTGTATATATATTCTCTGCCTGTGGATGGTATACATATTATACGTATGTGTACATATATATGTCATACATGCCTAACTATAAAAGGATCACCTGTGACCTCTGAGCTGTTCAGTGGTTAGCATAGCTGCCCACCCTGCTTTGTTCAAGTTGACGTATCAGAGTTTCCTGCTAGATGTTGTAAGGACCTTGAATAAAGGCAGTGCCCTATTTTTGGAAGATAACTAAGGCATATACCGTAATAGCCAGTTTTTGAAATATAGAATCCTTTCATATATATTGTTTTGTGACAAAATGCAATGAACATTTAAATGAGATGGTTTTTAAAAGAAGTGAGCCTTATAGTCCTTATTGCAAAGTTTTTGTTTCTAATCAGGTAAAACATTTTAAATTGAAAACACTAAGAGTATTTTTCTGGTGAAATTTGGTTTGTGGTACTCTTTTTTTTTTTTCAGTTAAGTGCTGATATTTATTTAATAAAAAAGTATGCAGCTATTAAAATAATGTTAAATTTTAATGCCATGCAAAAGTAGTCCTATTGATAAGTGGTAATTGTGGATAATATTTTAAATGCAGCGAGGATGCATCTGCAACAATGATAAAACCTATACTAAGAAGGATGTAACTATACTTATAATTAAGAAAGGTTTGTGGTACCTGTTTTCAAGGCAAACTGATCAATCACTTTTTCCCTGAGTTGAAAAGGATGTTGCTCCTAAGCAGTTTCCTGGGAGTGATGACAATTCTGGTTGCTACTGTTTGTGGGACATTTTTATAGTATAGTCCTCAAGGTCTGATTGAGGCTTGAAATGTATGCAATCAAAATGATAAATTTTAATATTCATAAGAATGCTTCAATAAGGCAGGTAATATCCATAGAAGAAGCCTTTAGCATATTTGTTCTTTTCACTTCTGAGCTCTGTATCTACTCAGTGAGGGGGCTGCACTCTAGGATTTTGCATTCTGGTTAGGTTTTGAAACTCTTCAGCAATGGTACTTTGTCATCTGTATGTAAACCCTCAGCTCTAACTGAAATTAGAGACACTGCACAAGAATATGAAAAGCTTAGCTGTTAGAAAAGTGTTAAATCTTATAGGCTGCTAAATATAATTTGAAAGATGCCTTTGTAACTTGAATGTTAACCTGATTTATTTTTAGGGAAACTTGACAGCTTAATTCTTAAAGAAAAAGATGTTTACTACTAATTTAATAGAATAGATCTGTCTTTGAAGCCTGTTTTTTCCTTTAAAATTTTATTTTATTTTTTATTGGAGTGTAATTGACATACAGTATTCTATTAGTTTCAGGTGTGCGTCTTAGTGATTTGGTATTTATAAACATTACAAAATGATCAGCACAATAAGTCTAGTTACCATCTGTCACCATACAAAGTTATTATAATATTATTGACTATATTCCCTGTGCTATACATTACATCCGCATGACCTATTTATTTTATAACTGGAGGTTTGTACCTCTTAACCCCTTCACCTATTTTGCCCACCCTCCACCCCTGCCCCTCTCTGGTAACCACCAGTTTGTTTCCTGTATCTCTGAGGGTTTTTTTGTTTTGTTTATTTGTTTTGTTTTTTAGATTCCACATATAAGTGAGATCATATGGTATTTGTCTTTCTCTGTCTGACTTATTTCACTCAGCATAATACCTTCTAGGTCTGTCATCTGTGTTATCACAAATGACAAGATTTCATTTTTTCATTCTTTTTTGTGTGTGTATGTTTGTTCTTTATCCCTTTATCTATTGATGGACACTCAGGTTGGCTGTTGTGAATAATGGTGAAGTGAACATAGGGGTGCATATATCTCTTTGAATTAGTGTTTTCATTTTTTTTGGATAAATACTCAGAAGTGGAATAGTTAGATCATATGGTAGTTCTATTTTTAATTTTTTGAGGAACCACCATACTGTCCATAGTGGCTGCACCAATTTACATTCCCACCAACAGTATACAAGGGTTCCCTTTTCTCCACACCCTCACCAACATTTATTTTTTGTCTTTTTGATAATAGCCATTCTGATAGGTGGAGGCAAAAATATACAGTGGGGGAAGACAGTCTCTTCAATAAGTGGTGTTGGGAAAACTGGACAGTCACATGCCAAAGAATGAAACTGAACTACTATCTTATACCATATACAAAAATAAATTTAAAATGGATAAAAGACTTAAATGTAAGACCTGAAACCATAAAACTCTTAGAAGAAAACATAGGTAGTCAGCTCTTTGACATTGGTCTTAGCAATATTTGTTTGGACCAATCTCCTCAGGCAAGGGCAAGAAAAGCAAAAATAACAAATGGGATTACATCCCATTACATCAAACCAAAATACTTTTGCACAGTGAAGGAAACCATCAACAAAATGAAAAGGTAACATACTGAATGGGAGAAGATATTAAATCGTACATCTGATAAGGGATTAATAGCCAAAATATTTGAAGAACTTATACAAGTTAATATAAAAGGAAACAACCAACCTGATTAAAAAGTGGGCAGAGGACTTGAATAGACATTTTTTCAAAGAAGACATATAGGTGGCCAACAGGCACATGAAAAGATGCTCAGCATCACTAATCATCAGGGAAATGCAAATCAAAACCACAATGAAATAAAAATTTCTTTTAAATAGGAGTTTATTCTTTGTCTCTTGGGGGGGTTTAGATTATGCACTAGGGAATCTTTCTGATTTATGGTTTTACAAGAGTAAAATGGTCATTTGAGTCATAAGTATGGAAATTAAGCATGGAGAGAGAGAGAATATGTTGCTAGGTCTCTAAATTTGGGGGAGTAGGGAGGAAAGCCTGTATAGTTGGAACTTAAAGGTATTATTTGACTTGTTTGGATTTGAATCAGAGGTTTATCAAATGATGTCAATGAATAATAATCTTCCTTAACTAGGTTAAATAAAAATATGTTGAAGTCCTAAGTTAAAATATGAAGGCTTTCCATATTCTGTTCGCTGGTATTACCTATTTTTAAATCAGCAATTTAAAATGAGGGTAGGTATATAATGAATGAGGAAAGAATAGGGTTAGGGTAGTGAGTAATAGAACATGGAAATTTATTAATTTTGAGCTTGTGATAGAGTTATCAGGAAAGGTATTAGGGGATTTCACTCACTAGAACATGAGTGTACAAATACTTCTTCAAGACCCTCCTTTCAGGTTTTCTGGGTATATACCCAGAGGTGAAATTGCTGGATGATATGTGCTTTTTAATCTTTTGAGGAACTGCCATACTGCTTTCCATAGTGGTTGCACCATTTGCATTCCCACCAGCCTGTATCTGTGCTGTCTACTCCAGTGCTTTGAATACAGTTGGTGATATTTCTTAACTGTTGATAGAGAAATTATAGTACAAAATTAAATTTTATAATCTGCTAGGAAATGGAATTCTCTTTGTCTTTTACTGTTAGTACTGTTCTCTCTTTTCCACTATAAAAATTTCAACAAAACACATGTATAGAGCACATTGATGTATCAGATTCAGTTAGAGTGCAGGCCACGTTATGTCCCTGTGCACAATTAAACATAGTTTGTCTCCTCTCTTTTTAAATCGGCCTAAAATATATTGGTTAGGCTTACCCTCAGAGTCCAGTGTTAGAGTGTGCTCTCCTTTAGGAAGTTTAACTTTAAATTGTTCTGCTCTCTTTTGTGTCAGAAATAGCTCACAGTTCTCTTACACTTTTATGCTAATAATGGGCCTGTATTATAAGGGTTTTTGAATAAAACTTTCCCTTTGTTGTCTAAGGTTGAATATATATAAAACATAGTAGTAGAAAACTTTTAATTTTCATTGTCTATTATTCTGACAGTCTCATAGCAGATAAATATTCTCCTCAACATTTTATTAGGAGAAATATCAAATATAGGGAGAAGTTTAAAGAATTTTACAGTGAACACTCATGTCTTCACCATCTAGATTCTAAAATTAACGTTTTTATTATGTCTTATCACATTTACTATCTCTCTATTCTTCCGTCTGTCAGTTCATCTTTCTTAGATGAATTAAAAAAAGTTGTAGACTTTGGTTTACTTTTCCCCAGATACTTCAACTTACAGGTCATTAACTAGAATTTGTTTACTGTCTTCCTTTTTTTTTCTTTTTTTGGGGGGAGGTGATTTTAGGCATAATGAAATGCACAAATCTTAGGGATACCTGCCCCGTGTTCTGATACCCGTACAACCTTTTAACGAGAAAAGTTATTCATGACACTTGTTAAAGACCTTAAGGAAGACTTTATTCCAGGGGGGACTGTCAGGATAGGTACAGGGACACTGCAGTGGGGTCTTGGAGTGAGAGAGAGAGAGAGACTGGGCTCAACTCTGACTCTAACAAGGACAGGTGGGGATTTAAAACCAGGATGCAGGGTGGGGGTCAGTGGATGGAAAATTACTAAGAGGCAACATCAGGGAAAAGGGGGATTCTTGCTAGGTGGACTCAATTGAATTCTTGCTGAAGGCAGGCCAGGGTAGAGGATGAGGAGTTCAATCAGATATAAGATTCAAAGTTGGTCAGATACCAAGGGTGGGAGATTTTAGCTAAACTGACTGAGCAGGATTCTTGCTTAAACTGGATTCTACAGGGACAG